CTCATGCGGTGGCATGGAGTTGGATGGCCTCTTGTTACTTTTTAGAACCTTCTTCAATCTTCTTCATCAAGAAGTCCATCTTGGTAGAGAGTATGTCCACCTCATGAACAATGTGCATACCTCTCTTCTTTCGCTAGAGGCGCTCTTCGTTCCATCCTTGGTTGACCACCATCTTTTCGATGAGGTCTTTAGCATCCTTCATATTGTGTTGAAGAAATGCTCCTCTAGCCGTAGCATCCAAGTGACTATGGACCATGCTAGTCAGCCAATGGTAGAAACCTTGGATTAAGAGCCAATCTTCTATCCCATGATGAGGACAGGCACGAATGTACTCCTGGAGATGCTCCCATGCTTCAGGAATCATCTCATCAAACTATTGTTGGAAGCTAGAAATTTACCCACAAAGGGCGCTGGTCTTGCCCATCGGGAAAAACTTCTTGAGGAATGCATTAGCGCACTTCTCCCAAGTGGTGGCTTCATCCTTGTTGGCATAGAACCATTGCTTCGCCTTTCCGAGCAAAGAGAATGGTAAGAAGCGAAGGCGGATGGTGTATGACATCACACCCTTGACGGTGAAGGTGCCACACACCTCCAAAAAGTGTTGAAGGTGGGCATTGGTGTCCTCATGAGGTTTCCCACAAAATGGGTTGGCTTGCACCATGTTGATAAGCGTAGGCTTAAGCTCAAAAGTGGCATCCCCCAAGTTGAATTAGGGTCCCATGGCCACATTAGCGGCTGACGGGGCTGAGCAGTCGGAGATTGTCTTTTGAGCCACAACTTCCCTAGGTAGTGGTGCAGAGCCTCCTTCCTAGAATGGATTCAAGTTCGAGACGAACCCTTGAGGGGGAACTAGACGACGTCTAGTTCTCCTCAACAATTGCTCGCGATCTTCAATGAAATTTCTCGACAATTGGAAACCACTCATACACTATCTTGCTTCACAATAATGAGAAACCAAGATAGGATTAAGCCCCTACACTAATTGATAACTAATTTGATGGTATATTTTGGATTCAAATTTACTAAAATTCCTAGGCTGATGCTTTCCCCAGCAACAATGCTAGAAATGCTTGTTGGTATTTCTTATGTCTATTGGATAGTTCCGCAAATTCACAAAATATACCGCTGTAGCACTTCATCCGGGAGTATTCCAAGGTATCATTATTTATTTTATCCCAAGGGAAAGCGGTAGCTAGGAATGATAATAAAAGAGAGATCCTTATATCCCACAACTTAGTATCAAGTAGTATAAGAGGGTAAATGGAATATGATAGGAAGGGATGATGATGCAACAAGCCAAGATAAAGATAAATAAGATAACTAGTAAGTATAGCTAGGTAGGAGGACAACGAGAGAGTAAAGGACTCCTATGTTTCTAACTCTACTCTTGTAACTTAGCCGAATCACACAACTGAGACACATAGATTGATACCTCACAACAAGTATGCTAGGCGATAGGCAAACAATAGGGAGTGAAACCCTATCCGATGCGACTACTTTTTTATGGGGGCCTTACCTTTTAAGAACTTGCCTACAACACATGGTGGGCTACAAAGGCTAGACAGGGCTGTCATCACCTGCTAGCTGCCACTATCTATCCATGCAACAAGCAGTAACCAAAAGCAAGATAACGTATAAGCACCACACTTACACCTTCTCTCACTACTCTAGCTGTAATTACACAGGCCAACTAGAGCACCCTATGACAGGCGATGATCACATACAGCTATGTTTCTAGGATCACAATCTAGTGTATAACAACTATATGACAAGATAAGCCACAATAATACTATGACTAGTATAATATTGCACAAAGTAAAGACTAAGTAAAGTAGAGCAAGAGTAATATATTGAAATAAGTAAAGTCTTACAAAAAGGGAAAGATACAAGAGCTATACTAGACTCTCTAGAAGACTGCTCCGGAAGACCCGAGCAAAGCTCACTACTTAACTCTAATTCCCATACTAGACTACACTACTAAGATAAAGTGGACTAACTACTCTTCACTTGAGCTTGTAGGCTTCTTCACCATAAATGGAGAGGGGGTGTGACCTTGTATTTATAGGTGGAGGTGGAGTCGACACCACATTAGCGATCCGTGTGACCTCCATCAAGCACCATTGCATCAAACCGCCATTAAATCAAGGGTTGAGATCATTGGAGTGCATGGAGGCATGCACTAAGGCGGTGGGTGAAAGATGGATGTTGGTGGCTCCATAGGGGGGTCGGCTGACCCCCTATGACAGGTGGGACCTCTCTCTCCCTTCTAGAAGGATGACCCACTGTCAACATAGTGTGTGTTTGGCCACTTTTGTCACATTGGATGCTTTGTTGTGGGTCCATGAATCCATGTGACTTCATCTTCCACCCTTGAGAGAAAACACAAGTGTGATCTAAGGGTGGGGAATGTCTTTAGGGTGCTTCTCATGGATCCTGCCACCTTGGCAAGGCTTGGTGGGTCCATAGGGGGGCGAGCGGCCCCCATATGGTGGGTCCACATGCTCATTTGCCTCCATTTGTCATCTCCTGCATGAAAGCATCTCAAGGCACAAGTAGAACTTGTTATTGGTAAAATATGTTCATGTCATGTTATTCTTCCTTTGATCCGAGGCTGTTGATGGTGTTTTGAGAGTGTGAATTTGTGACATTTTCATGATCAACAGCTGTCACCCCACGTGATCTACCACACATTCCAGAATGTAGGGTGCATCCGGAGGCACAACAATGTATAAACACCACGCTTACACAAAGTCTACTGCTCAGCCCGATCGATCACTAGACTAAGCGCTCTACGATCCTATGCATAAATATAAAGATAACTATACTAAGCATATAACCAAAGTAAAAATAACCTTGTAGATAAAAATATGGCATATTAGTAATGAAGTCTCACAAGATATGAAAGTGAAGATGCATTGACTTTACCGAGTCTTCGAGATTAGATCCGGAACCTGAGCATGAGCCCAACTCAAGCCTAACTCCCGAGCTACTAATCTACTGCATTGGAGAGCTCTAGACTTATTTCTCCTTGTGTTTCTTGATCCGAATAGATCCTTTTCGAGAGGGGGTCTAGGGGTCCTTTTATAGGGGGCACTAGGCACCCTGTGGGCCTGGAATCCATGGCATGGCTCCATCTTGTCCCTCCAATCCAAACTGACTTCAATGCATGGTGAAAACTGATTCTCAAGGTCGGTGAAGAGTCCATGTCTGAGGGGAGGATGATAGGTTGACCCCATAGGTCGCCCGACCTAGGGAGGGTCAGTCAACCCCCTCTATCCTCCTCTGCCATCAATGTTTGGCGGTAAGTCGGGGATGGTGGATATGAAGCTAGTGAAATTGGTTTCGTTGCATATCATCTTGATTTTCTGACGTAATATGGCCCACTTAGTCCCATTTTCTGGATAAATCAGCTTGCATACAAAAATTTACCAAGGCTTGTGGAATTCGTTAGTTTTAAATCTCTAAACCTATGTTGGTGATTGATTTTAAGTATAAATATATGCAGGTGAAATTCACGGTTTATTTTTGCTATAGCGACCATCAACAGGAGGTAGGTCCAAGCAAACAACCCCTAACGGTTAGAACATTAGGGCCAGAAGCGCCGGGCGGCGCCCAAGGCTCCCCGACTCCACGACAATGCTAGGGTCCATCCATACCGTAGCAGCGTCCTCCTAGACTCTGGCGCACGTAGACCATAGACTAAAACCCTCGAACTGCCTTGTACCTGACCTTCCTCGGTTGATAAGGGGCAGGTCCAATCCTGTAGAGGGGGGAGGTCAGAAAATAGACCAGAGAGGTCAAGCCCAGAGAGAACAGACCATAGTACTCGAGCTCTCTCAGAAGCAGAGCAAGCAGAGAGGAACGACTGAGCGTTCCTCCCCACGGAAATCCGGTGAGACAAAGGAGCGTTCTTCCTCCTCGCCGGGGAACCAACCTCTCCGCCGATAAGCCTAGGATAGCACTGAGCGATCTCCTACCAAATCTCTTTCTCTTTCGTTGTACCCCCTATTTGGGTGCCCTTGAATACAAAGAACAGTCACTGCTGGACGTAGGGCTCTGATAGCCTAAACCAAGATACATCGCCGTGTCTTCTTTTGTGTTCTTGAGTCCACCCGAGCCACCGAAGACCTACACTCAGTGACTAACAAACAACGATGCTTTCTGTGGCAACGAACTCGTGACACCATGTATATAATCTGGTAAACACTCGTGCATAACAAGGCATAATAAGTCATGTCTCGCATACTACAAAGGCATTACTTAAGTAGGTCTTAGAGTTCTCTAGGGATATTGTCTTTACATTCATTTGCACTGCTCTTCAAAATATTCATCAAGAATTCCGTCATCAATTAATGTGATAGTTGTGCATGGCAGATAATAAGTTAATTATTAATTTGCTATGCAATCTACAAAATATACATAGAGAATATATATGCTCACATGGTTGATCACCGCTAATCTTTCGCCATTCCATGACTTTAGGAAACTACATAAAGGAAGCCTGCTAATTTCCCGAAGAAGAGCAAGTGTTTGTTTGTTGTAGATAAATTAAATGACTATTTAATAAGAAAGATGAAACATATTATAAGTTATTACCGGTTTAAAGTTTTTGAAGCCATGTTGGGAATTCACGACGCCAGACATAAATATTGTGGTTCCATGCATCGTCTAGAGTAGCCGATGGTACATACAGTCAATGACCAACCAACCTTCTATACGTTTCTCTTGCTCACTCAGATTCAACGATCCAATTTGTTTGGACCAAACCTCGTCACCCAGCCTCACGCCAAACTCCTCCTCGCTCCGCCCCCAGCCCTCAAGCCGGCGTCCCTCGGCCACGGTTCGATTCCCATTCCCTGCGTGTTGTCCTTTTTTTTTTTTCCAAACATCATCTCTCCTCTCGAGCGACCGCAAAAAAAAAAAAAAAAAAATCAACGCCGCCTGCCGGTTCCCGGCGACGGCGAGCTGCAGCACCGGCAGTCTCCTCCGGCTCGTCGGCGATGGCCAGATTCCGTGGCCGGAGGCGCAGACACCCCACCCCCTTCTTCTCCCCCGGCTCTCCACCTCATTCTTCCCCGGGGCTCCTCCCCCGGCGGCCGGAGTCACAGCCGCGGCTGGCCAAGCCGGCACCGTGCCTGTGTTCGTGGCCCCCCTGGCCGGCTCCTTGGCTGGGAGTGCGGCTGGCCGGACCTCCGCCGTGGTCAGCCCCGTGGCTGGGGGCGCAGCCCCCTTGGCCGCGGGCGCAGGCCGCCGCCGCCGCCGGGCGAGTCCGCTCGGGGCCGCCATTGGGTGAGGCGAGACCGCTGCGGGGCGTCATCCTGCCCCCGCACCCTGCTGCCGTTTGTGATTTTCATTAGGATTTCGCTACCAGGGGTTTGATCTGATGGATGCGTCTGCTTGTAGGTTTTTGGAACTTCCAGGGTTGGAGTCCGGTGTGCGCTAGGCCCTGCTGAGATCTGTCAAAGCGCTATGTCTATCCGACTGTGATTTTTAGATTTTATTTCTGATTGCCGATGTGTTTTTGTGCACTGTGCAGTTGGGTCTATTAGCGGTTTTTGTTTGGATTTCTGTGAATGATGGTTTGGGCATATAATTCCTGTGAGCAGGATTTAAATTAGTTTGCTTGTCAGCTACCTCCTGTTCTAAAATGCAATGCTAGTAACTTACAAACAAATTGACCATGCAAAGGGAGGCTTGACAGTGTTAGTGATTACTGCATACACCACTGCTTATGCCCCGTTGTGGTTGTTCGCTACGCTGATGATGCTGCAGGTGCTGGTGGAAATGGAGCACGGTTGATAGATGAGTTGCACACTGTACCAGAGGATGGACCTGTTTATTACGATGCACCTGAGGTGCAGAAAGGTCTGCCCCTTTTCTTTTCTTAACTATATGTTTTCACATTAATAATGCTGATTGATGATTTTGCAATGAAGTGTTTTATGCAACGATTTAGTACATAACTTTCTGATATGGAAGAAAAATTGGGCTAATCGCATAAATATTTGTTAATATCAATGTTTTCCATCATGATGATGACTTATGATTGCACTGACTATTGCCCGTATGATTGCATTCGGCAGTTTTTGTTAAGATTGGATTTCTCTGTTATGAATTTTTCTGTTCCTTATAGCAAATCAAGATACTTTTCCTTTTATGCAATCAAGGTACATAGTATTATCTTTCCACTTTCTATTTAAAAAGGCAGCACTTCAAAATTGTAGACAACAGGAGTATTTCACACGATAGTTGTAGTCTCATAATTGTAAGAGTGAGTTTATCTATGTGGTTGGTCGAATTTTTCTCTCCTGAGTAGGCTAAATGCATTGTCTGACGAAATCTGAAAGCCCTTTGTAAGTTATAACCAGAGTATGTTGTTAATTGTTTTCTTAACCAGTGTGGCAGCAGATATTCAGACTATGCTAGAAGAAACCCAGCTGAAATTTGAGGAAATGTATTCGGTATTCCACTTCCACACGATTTTTCCCATTAATTTACTGAGAGCATCTGAAACCAGCTATAACTTACAAAGGGCTAAACAAAAATATTCAGCTTCAGTGAGAACACACTAATCTGTGTTACTATTTGTGCATGCAGACAGAGTGTTTGAAGGCCATTGGGATCACAAATCAGAGGGAAACCACTGTTACGTGGAGTAAGTCCACTGGCCATCCACTGTATAATGCCATTGTGTGGATGGATGCTCGCACAAGCCCTGTTTGCAGGTCTGTCTTTTTATCATTCATTCGTTTTCTATTAACATTTGATATTATCATATCTTCTCATCATGCTTCAACAATAGAGGAGATTACAAAGTGAGCTATCAGGCGGTAGAACCCACTTCGTGGAGACATGTGGGCTGCCAATCAGTACCTATTTCGGTGCTCTGAAATTATTATGGTTGATGGAAAATGTGGATGCTTTCAAGGATATGCAGTCCAGACTGGTTACGCCTTATTCGGCACAATTGACACCTGCTTGATTTGGAACCTTTTAGGAGGTGTTGCTGGTGGGCAGCATGTCACGGACTGCTCAAGTGCATCTCGTACTATGCTTATGAATCTAAAGACACTTGACTGGGATAAGCCAACACTTGATGAGTTGATGTATTAGGAGTTCATGTTGAGATTTTGCCAAAGATTATCAGTAATTGAGACAAAATTGGTGTGGTCGCCAAAGAGTTCCCCCTTTGCAGGTGTCCCCATCTCGGGGTGTCTTGGAGATCAGCATGCTGCTATGCTTGGGCAGCTATGCAAATTATGCATTGAATTATAAGGTATCTGCAGATTGTGTAAATCATACATTTTCTTCAATAAAATGAATGCTCAATCTGGCGTGGCAAATTAACCATGCTGACAAGTATCCATGATCCTTGATTGTCTTGTTCATCTGCAAATTGAACACAAGTATGGACTGTCATGAAAAAATAATTCTTAAAAAATTCACGATATCCACGTTTGTCTGTTTAGCGATACGTGTTCTTAACTTCTTGTGTGATCTTACCTGGCACAGATCTTTCTCATTTGTTTTCTTTGCAAAAAACTGTAAAAGTTTGCATTGGTGTCCCAGCATATGGTGGGGGCGCCATTGGTGTCCCAGCATAGCATGTCCCAAGCCCTGGTAAAGAAGAAGGATTTTGTTAGGCGCGGCGAGCCAACGTAAAAACTTAACCACTTTTACGGAGATGAAACAAAAGAATCTCGTTGGGGCGTAACCCTCTTAGCGACGCGCCATGTCGGAACCCGGGTATGGTGTTAAATGAGCAAGGGCCGTGTCGTCACCCCTGTGACGTGCCGTGTCGCGATCTAGGCACAGTGTTAAGTGAGCAAGGATCAAATCATCGCATCCTTAGTGGCGCGCCACATTGGCGCCCGGGTGTGTTGCAAAATGAGCAAGGGTCTTCACACCTTCCTCGACGGGTGCGAAGGGTAAGGAAGCTAGTCGTGCCAACTAGGATCCGTTTAGGTAGCTGGAATGTATGGTCCCTTACGGGTAAGTTAAAAGAGTTAGTGGACACAGCGGTTAGGAGGCGTGTAAATATCTTATGCGTCCAAAAGACTAAATGGAAGTGGTAAAAGGCGAAGGAGGTGGACAATACTGGCTTCAAGCTCTGGTACATAGGGACAACTTTAAATAAAAATGGAGGAGTTTTGATTGATAAGAGCCTCAAGGATGGTGTGGTAGAGGTGAGAAGGCAAGGAGATAGGATCGTCTTAGTTAAACTTATCATTAGCGATATGGTCTTAAACGTAATTAGTGCGTATGCCCCCCAAGTAGGCCATGATGAGAGTGCTAAGCGGCTTTTTCTGGGAAGACTTAGATCGCTTTGGTTAGAGTTGTCCCTAGTAGCGAGAAGCTCTTTATAGGAGGTGATCTTAATGGCCATGTAGGTATATCAAGTGCAGGTTTCGAGGCAGTTAATGGGGGTTTCGGATATGGTAGTAGGAACCAGGAGGGATATGAAGTCTTAGATTTCGCCATAGCTTTTGATCTGATGATAGCTAACACTTTCTTTCGTAAGAGACAATCCTATTTAATGACCTTTAGTAGCGGCTAGTAATCTAGTTAAATCGACTTTGTCCTTATACGAAGGAGGGATAAAACGAACATGCGTGGCCTGTAATGTGATACCTGGAGAATGTGTGGTCGCTCAACACAAGCTGGTGGTGGCTGACTTCCGGTTTCTAGTGCAAGCTCGTGGGAACAAACAAGCTAGGGTTGATAGAACGAAGTGGTGGAAATTAGAAGGGGAGACATCAAAGGTCTTCAAGAAAAGGTCATTGAAGAGGGCTCTTGGAAGGATGAAGGCGATGCAAACAACATATGGGAGAAGATGGCAACATGCGTTCAGAAGGTTGCTTCAAAGGTGCTTGGAGTGACCAAAGGGAGCGGATGCGACTCGAAAAATACTTGGTGGTGGAATAAAGATGCGCAAAAGGCTATTAAGGAAAAAAAGGAGTGCTATAAGTGCTTATATCATGACAGATGTGCAGACAACATAGAGAAGTACAAGGTAACAAAGAAGACTACAAAACGAGCGATGAGTGAGGCAAAGGGACGGGCCTATGAGGACCTTTACCAACGTTTGAGTACGAAGGAAGGAGATGGACATTTATAGGATGGCTAAGGCTCGCGATAGGAAGACAAAGGACTTCAACTAAATCAAGTGCATAAAGGATGAGAGAAAGCAGCTATTGATGAATGAGGATGAGATCAGACATAGATGACAAGATTATTTTGATAAATTGTTCAATGGTGAGAACGAGAACATCACCGTTCAGTTGGACGACTTGTTTGATGACACTAACAGGCGCTTTGTGCGGAGGATTCAAGAATCGAAGGTCAGAGAAGCCTTGAAAAGGATGAAAGGGGGCAAAGCAATGGGCCCTGATGGTATCTCAATCAAGGTGTGGAGATGTCTCGGGGATATAGCTATAGTATGGCTAATCAAGATGTTCAACAATATCTTTCGATCGAACAAGATGTTTGAGAAGTAGAGAAGAAGCATATTGGTACCAATCTACAAGAACAAGAGAGATATCCAAAGTTGTATTAATTATCGGAGAATTAAGTTGATGAGTCACACTATGAAGTTATGGGAGAGAGTCATCGAGCAGCGCCTGCGAGGAATGACGCAGATATCAACAAACAAATTTGGTTTCATGCCCGGAACGTCATCCACAGAAGTAATTTTCTTAATAAGACAAGTTATGGAGCGGTTTAGAGAACAGAAGAAGGACCTCCACATGGTTTTTCATTGACTTGGAGAAGGCTTATGACAAGATACCAAAAAATATTATGTGGTGAGCTTTGGACAAACATAAAGTCCCATCAAATTATGTGACCCTCATCAAGGACATGTACAACAATGTTGTGACTAGTGCTCGAACAAACGATGGTAACACAGATTATTTTTCGATTAAAATTGGACTTCATCAAGGATCAGCCTTAAGCCCGTATCTCTTTGCCTTAGTAATGGATGAGGTTACTAAGAACATACAAGGGGATATCCCTTGGTGTATGTTGTTCGCTGATGATGTAGTGTTAGTGGACGAAAGTCAGACGAGAGTAAATAGGAAACTAGAGTTATGATGGTAGACCCTTGAGTCTAAAGGTTTTAGATTGAGCAAAACTAAAACCGAATACATGAGATACGACTTTGGCAGAGCTACACAGGAGGAGGGAGATGTGAGTTTAAAAGGTCAAGTAGTGTCTAAGAAGGATATCTTTCGGTATTTTAGATCGATGCTACAGAGGGATAGAGATATTGATGCGGACGTTAGCCATAGAATCAAAACAGGGTGGATCAATTGGCGACAAGGTTCTAACATTCTTTGTGAAAAGAGGGTACCACGAAAGTTAAAAAGGCAAGTTTTATAGAAATGCGATTAGACCAGCTATGTTGTATGAAGCAGAATGTTGGCCTATAAAGATTCGATATGTTCAACAACTGAGTGTTGCAGAAATACGTATGTTGCGATGGATTTGTGGTCACACAAGAATGGACCGAGTTCGGAACGATGATATACGTGATCGCCTAGGGGTAGCACTAATTGAAGAAAAGCTTGTCCAACATTTATTGATGTAGTTTGGCCATGTCCGAAGAAGACCTCCAGAGACATCAGTGTATTGTGGAGTACTAAACCAAACTAATAATATGAGGAGAGGTAGAGGAAGATCGAAATTAACATGGGAGAGACAATAAAAAGATATTTGAAAACTTGTGATATATCTAGAGATCTATGTTTGGATATGAGTGCTTCAAAAACAGCTATTAAAGTGTTTGAATCGTGACTTGAGGCTTTTGATGGATTTTAACTTTAACCTACCTCAATTTATTTGGGACTCGAAGGCTACATCGTTGTTGTTGCAAAAGTTTGCATCGGATGACTAACGATAGCTTGTCACTTCCTACTTTAGGCTGATTTATTAGGCAGCCCTGTTGTCAGACCATCTGACAAAGACCACAGCCCTTGGAGATGCATATGCTACTGGGATTTGCAGGCTTGCATACGGAGAACACGACTGTCTTCCTCCCGAAACTGGATGAGGCGCGCAGGAAGAAGAGAGCAGATTCGTGGTTCATGGCGGTTTCAAGATCATTCGATTTGGCTGATATTGTCCCAGGGTACGACGTTTAAATGAACTAAGTATCGGATATATTGTGTAATTGCATCAAACAAGTTTGTTAACACTTCTCTTTTCAGTTGTTGTATTTTGAGCTCGAGGACAATAGTGGATTTAACCTTACTTTACAGATATGCATGTGTGTAGCCAGCTTATCATTTTTGTTAGTCCAAATGAAAAAAAGAAGAAAACAAAGGTGTATTGGTTATTGGCTTATCACCAGCTATTCTCCCAAGCATATGAAGCCAAACATGTGAAAACAAATATGTTCTTACTAAGTTTAGATCTTCGCCCTGTTCGTTTGGGTTGGTTTGGCTTATAAGGCATGACTAAAAGTACTATTGACTGGTTTGGTGTGAGAGAAAAATACTGTTCGTTGGCTGATAAGCCATGGCTTATAAGCCAAATACGAAGCGAACAGGTTGCTTGTTGATTGGTAAACAAATATATTGTTGATTGGCAAACAAATACGAGGCTTGAATAGAGGTAACAGAGTATTGGCCCTTTTGATGGATTCTTACAACAACAGATTTATGATACATGGTTGAAAACTTGAGGGTTATTGCTACATTCAGTTTGTTCAATTGTTGATTCTTGTTCATTGGCAGTAGAGTGTATTGTGCTCACTGACGATGTTCTGGATAGCTGTTTTAAGGTTCACAGGAAACTTGAATTCTTATGATTAATTTACTGTGTAGCTCACCTCGGTAATTTATTGAGTGTAAACTGTAATGTTAACTATTTAGTAAAGCTCATCAGTTTCATTCCACACTAAACTGACGATTTAGATTGGAGTAATTGGTGACAAGATTGTGGCTTTGCTGTCCAAGATAACTTATTTTCTTCTAAAATCGAGTTTAGTACTAAAACCTGTACTGAGGTTGAATGTAAACGTGGCGGGGTAGAAAAACTGAATTTTTGACCCGGGGAACCGTTATCTTAATTCAATTGTGTGGAACACTGTTGCTCTCAATGCAAAGATATACTATTGGGTGGACTTGTCAAAAGTGAAAAAAGTATCGTTTGACCTTATCGCAGTAGATAAATATGTGCCTTTTTCTCTTTACTTTGCGTTCTATCAGGAAATTCTGCATCCTTTGCTGGCACCCAGTGCAGTAAACATAGGCATAATGTTTCTTCAAATTTCATAGCTGTGCATTATTGGTTGTGGCCCTGTTTGTTTGGAGGAATTTGTGAGAGCGTGAACAGTAACTTTCAGTCGTGAACAGTGAATTCTGGCTGGTTTTTGCACCAGCCGAACGGCGCTTGTTTCCTCTAGGCAGCCGCGAAGACGTAAGGCCACCTAGGCCATAAAGCTGCGTCGATATTAGTTGTTTTCTTCTATGTAATATCGAAACATGATGTCTTTTGTTAGGATGGTCCAGCTTCGACTGTGTTAGGTCGACCTCCTTCGGTGCTCGATAGAATCGCGTTGTATGTTTCTTTAAACTCTTCTCCTTGATACAATGATACGTAAATTTTTTTTGCGTATTCGAGAAAAAAAAATAGCTGTGCATTATTACCTGTGACCTCAATTTACATATTATGATCTTTGTCTTTACAGATTTGTTTCTAAACTGATATTTTGTTCTTGTAAAAGATATTAGGGGTGACATAAAACTGAGTGAGTATGCTGGAAAGATTCTTATCATCAATGTTGCTTCAAAATGGTAACTTTGGAAACCGAACTTCATTATTTAACATTGCACTCTCGCCTACATCAAATCATAATTCTGAGGAAAATGGTTGTCCCTTTCTCCAGATTTGAATATACTCATTTGAGCGAATCTACTTGTTAATCTTTAGAGCAGTTGAAATAAATACTATATCCTCCAAGGTTATTCATCTTGCTGTATCTATTTTCCTCAACTTGATATGATAGAGTCATCTTGCATCTGTCTTCAACTCAACTTGTACTATGGATCTGAGTTGCTGTACAATATAGATAGATTCAGCAATAACTGAGAACCAATGGCTTCTGTGTGGGCCTTTCAGGAAGGTGAACCTGGCATTTTATATTCTGTTCTTAGACGGATGCATGTTTTTCCTTGTTGCTGGCTATACCTATACACATGTTACTATACTGCAGACTACTAATGTTGTAAACAGGTCACTCCGGTGTAGCAAACCTGTGCTTTGTTGTACATCTTTATTATTTGTAGTATTCCTGGAGAACTCCAAGATCTACTTTAGCAATTCAAAAATTATTTGTAGTATGCGACACTTGACTTTACTATGTATGAGTGTTTTCCGGATTATATACATGGTCATATACAATTGCTTGAGAATTAAACTATGGGAAAATGTCGTTGTTTGATTGTTTTTATGTGCATCTCTGAAATAAAGCCGTGGCGTTAGTACAGACACTATACTAATATTGTAAAGCATACCTTTGATGTGGTTGTTGATGACATCGCTTAGCGTAGAGCAGGTATCTCTTAGCGTAGACATTGTCAAATATCCCGGACGTTGTATGTTTCAGCCAACTGCAACACCACAAACGTCGGGATGAGAAGTATGCAGCCGGCTGGGATGGAGACTGGCGTTGGGGGCAGGCGGCGTGTGCTACATGATGAGCTCCTTCAGATCATCTATGAACCTTGAGTAAGATTTGCTTCACCGATCATGATATTGCTGCAGCCATAAGTGCATGTTCTTATTTTCTACGACAATGTATAAGGTAATGATCAGAAAAAACTGAAATTAAAAAGGACCTAAAATGTTGCAGGCGGCACGGAGTAGCACGGCGGCTCTCGCGCGCGGCGAACAGTAACGGGCTTCGATGGCGGAGCATCAGGGCGAGCGGTCGGCGCGGCACTGCAACACTCACGGTGCTCCTGCGGGGTTCTAGGGGCACTCCTGCGTGACATGAGGCGCAGGGCGTGGTGATGCAAACACTCCTGCGGGGCTCCCGCGGCGGGCCTCCGTGATCATGTACGCGGCGGCAGCGTGGGTCTACGCCAGACCACGTGGCCTAGGGTGGTAGCGAGCGACGAGCAGAATCGTAACGGGCGGAGCATGGTGCGGGAGTTTTGGCGGCGTGCAGGCAGTATGGAGCAGCATGGGCAGGCGATAGGTTCGGCGGTGGCATGCAGGCGGTAGCGGCGGCGGGCAGGATCAAAACGACCGGAGCGCGTGAGGCGTGAAGAAGGAAATTTTTTCGAAGGAAACTTTTTTTGTTTATTTGGGGATTTTGGGATTCGATTCTAGGTTGTTGGTTGAGGTGCGTCGACGCCGTGTAGGGGGGGATGGGTTGGGGGGGGGATGGGCAAGTGGCATGCATTGAAGCCCAAGGGGTGGGGGTAATCCAAATAACGTTGGCCATTGGATCGAGTTCAAGCATGTGAGAGAGAATTAGGAGCAATACATAGATTTTAATGATGTTGAAATCTTGAGTGTAATTTTATTGATGCACAATAGTTGAACTTTTTCAGCGGGGGACGCATATTTAGGGTTTACTAGAATAGTTGATTGTTAGTAGAGATTATGTATCATTTTTTTATATTTTTTATAGACTTAACCAAATTTAAAAACGTTTGAATTTCTCAAAAAATTTGAATTACAATTTGTTTTGGATGCAAGGTTATATAACTGACTGGCAGAATTTTTCTTCGCGAAAAAGAAAACAAAGGTGTCTCATAGTACATGGACGTGTTCATGGAAAGGGACAAGAGCGCAACCCACCCACCACGCCCCGCGCCAGCCCACACTCCCGAGGACGCACGCCGCAGACAGCCGAAGCAGATGAATGAAACGAAACGAGATTCATCCAGGAGAGAGAAGCTATAGAGAGAGAAACAAGAGGACAGAGGGGGGAACAGAACCACCGCGCGGCCGGAGACGCCAAAAATACATCTTCCCGGCCCAGGCAAGAAATCAAAATCCTCCGCAACAATCCGTCGCATTTGCGCCCCCTGTACGGCGAATCCGCCATGGGGAGGGCGAGATTTCTCCTCCCCCTCCTGCTCCTCCTCGCCGTCGCCAGCCTCGCCCCCGCCCCCGCCCCCGCCGCCGCGGCGACGGCCATGACCGCAGACGCGGGCGTCATCTTGGACCTCGCCGAGTCGCTGACCAACCCGCCGCCGTCCTGGACCGGCACCGACGTCTGCGGCGGCGTCTCCTTCAGCGGCATCACCTGCGACGGCGCCGGCCGCGTCACCGGCATCAACCTCGTCAAGCTGCATTTATCCGGCACCCTTCCCTCGTCCCTCGCCAATCTCACCGCGCTCCAGTCGCTGCAGCTCCAAGGCAATGTGCTGGAGGGCGACGTGCCCTCCCTGGCCCGGATGGGTTCCCTCGAGACCCTTGTTCTCGACGGCAACGCCTTCTCCGCCCTTCCGCCGGACTTCCTCGAGGGTCTCCCCTCGCTGCTCAAGCTCAGCATGGACGACCTCTCTCTCGAGCCATGGAGCATCCCCGACGCCATTGCGGGGTGTGCCATGCTGCAGACCTTCTCGGCCTCCAACGCCTCTGTCTCTGGTCCCTTCCCGGCGGTTCTTGCCAACCTGACATCGCTGCAGACGCTGCGGCTGTCGTACAATAATCTCACCGGGGTCCTGCCGGTGGGGTTAGAGGTGTTGGGCGCGCTGGAGACACTGCAGCTCAACAACCAGAGGTCGGCTGGCAAGCTGTCAGGGCCAATTGATGTTGTGGTGAAGTTGCCGAGCTTGAAGACACTGTTTCTTCAGTCCAACTCGTTCACCGGCCCGATCCCGGAGTTTGACCCCAACTCGCAGCTGGAGACTTTCAATGTCAGGGACAACAGTCTCACCGGACCGGTGCCACCGTCTCTTATAGGGATCGCAACCCTTCAGGATGTGACGCTGTCCAATAATTTTCTTCAAGGGCCAAAACCAAACTTCACAGCTAAGACTAAGGATATTGATTCTGGGAACGGGTTCTGTCACGAAGACCCTGGTCCATGTGATCCGCTGGTGACCACTCTGCTTGGGGTAGCTTTAGGGTTTGGATACCCATTGCAGCTTGCGAAGTGGGCAGGAAACAACCCATGCGATCCATGGCTTGGTCTTTCCTGCATCAAAATGGATGTAACTCAAATCAAATTGCCTCACCAGAACTTGTCAGGGATTATTTCACCGGCTTTTGCAAACCTGACTAGGCTTCAACGGTTGGATCTGTCTAACAATCAACTCACGGGGGTGATACCAGATGCTTTGACGACACTGGAAAGCCTCAATTATCTTGATGTCTCAAATAATCGCCTTACTGGACAAGTGCCTGAGTTTAAGCAGCCTATAAAGCTTATGACTGCAGGCAACCGGTTTGGGGAATCAGGTGGTGATAGTGGAGGGGGGTCCTCATCTTCCAATCCAACAGGTTCACATAACTCAAAGTCAAATGCTGGAATGATCATTGGAATTCTTCTAGCTGTCATTCTTCTTGTCATTTGCATTGGGCTTTTCCTACATCATCGAAGGAAAAAGAATGTGGACAAGTTCAGTCCTGTCTCAACAAAGAGCCCTTCTGGTGAATCTGAGATGATGAAGATTCAGGTAGTTAGGACAAATGGCCATAGCAACATAAGTGGTTCTGTAGGCCCAACTGAGCTTTACAGTCATTCAAGTGCTGACAGCACAAACATTGCTGACCTCTTCGAGTCCCATGGGATGCAATTACCGATGAGTGTGCTACTAAAGGCCACAAACAACTTTGATGAGGACTACATCTTAGGTAGAGGGGGCTTTGGGGTGGTTTTTAAGGGGACTCTCAATGGCAAGCTGGTTGCTGTGAAGAGGTGTGACAGTGGCATTATGGGAACTAAAGGGCTGCAAGAATTCATGGCTGAGATTGATGTTCTTAGGAAGGTGAGACATCGACACTTGGTTGCATTGCTTGGGTACTGCACGCATGGCAATGAGAGGCTCTTGGTCTATGAATATATGTCGGGAGGAACACTACGCGAGCACTTGTGTGATCTTCAGCAGAGTGGTTTTACTCCTCTTACATGGACACAAAGGATGACAATAGCTTTGGATGTTGCCCGGGGGATAGAATATTTGCATGGTTTGGCGCAGGAGACTTTCATCCATAGGGATCTGAAGCCTTCCAACATATTGCTGGATCAAGATTTAAGAGCCAAGGTTTCGGACTTTGGATTGGTCAAGCTTGCGAAAGATACAGATAAGTCCATGATGACAAGAGTAGCAGGGACATTTGGATATCTTGCGCCTGAATATGCCAGTATGTTCACTTCTCACTTCTATAAATATTTTGTTCTCAAGTACAATCAGCATTTGTCTTGCATATAATTCTTACTTCTGTTACTTTGGCTGCTTTCAGTTCAATCATACTTTATTTTTTACTTGAGCAATCTTTATGCTTTCAATTTACACTAGTCAGCAAGGTAGGATCATCTAGAAATTACCTTAGGAACTCAACTCTTTACATGATCCTAACAAGCAGGATTCTTGCCACTGTAGAACTACACAGAGCTGTGCTTAATTCAATTTGATTGTTTGGTAATACACTGACAGATTTCTCAGGTTGTATTTGAAAAGCAGAAACAAGAATCGCTAGCAGAGGTGTAGGTTGTGTTTGGTTCTGTGCAATGCATGACGCATGACCTTAGTTTGTCTTGTATCAGGGAGCCACACTCGAGCCAGGTTAGGTGTATGTAGGATCATTTTATCTGGTTGCATATATGTATTCGGCCTGGATGGGGAGATATATTGTTTGGTTGCCTGCGTGAGTACATGTTTCATGAGATGAAAGTGCAAAATGAAGAGTTGAGGTTATAATTATTGTGTTATTATATTATAATAACCTTTACTTTTATCTTTCCAAGCCTTAGTCTACTTTAAAAGAAATTAAAGTCACTTAATATGCACTAATCACACACTAATAGCATAATTAGACTAAATCACATGTTCGGTGAACCTGGCTCTAGAGAAATGGCCAATTTCTGTGTATCTGCTCAGTGTGGTTGAGTAGCACCTTTTCGTATCCTGTGAGCCAGACCTAGTACCACGCACATTCAACGTAACAACCGCTCCCTGCTTCCTACAGGCTAGGCTCGAGCATATGCAGGAAACCACACACACCCATACTTTTCTTGTGTTCACAGATAGGTCTTCTATGTTGTCAGACATTAGACATTGGTTTTTGGAATTTGGAACAAGGTTGATTCTTGATGCAGTCACTAATTCACTATCATAGACTAGCGTACATCACTAATTCACCATTGTAGACTAGAGTACATCACTAATTCACCATCGTACACTAGAGTACGGAGTATCCCTTAAACCGAACATAGGTTATTGGCAGGATCGGACAACCCACCAAATGCTGAAAAGCCAGTTTTTCACAACGGACGAGCCGAGTTTCATTACTGGTAGTAATAAATTGAATCAAGGTTAGTCAATCACCCAGATTTATATCCAAGACCATTACTTACCCTCCAGCCCAAGCACAAAGGGCTTTGCGACAGAAGCAACCAAAAGCACAAACGACGGCGACTATGCCACTCCCAGTAAACTACATGTTTAACACTGACATAAGAAGCTAACACTCAAAACCGACCAGACTTACAAGCCAGATGAGGCTGCCACGGCAAGCAGGCCAGCGAAGACAGACTTCCAAGCAGCAGAACTGAAGCCGTCACATCTTGATGATCACCTGAGATTCATCCCCCGTCCGTTGGACTTGCTGGTGGAATTGCAAAGCCACCGACTTCAGAATCGCGGCCCCATGCTCCATTTGAGTCGCAGACTCCTGATTCTGCAGCCCTGTCCAATATACCAGCATAGAACATATCAAACATAGAATTTCTGTAGGAGCCTTTACTCTCTTCCCTTCAAAGCAAATAGATTTCCTTGTTTTCCAGATAGCTCAGCAAACAGCAGCCAAACCAACCATATGAACCTTTTTCCTTCTTGGGAGGACCCAATTGAACCACATCCAATACTGAATAAAGGACGAAGGTCTAACAGATATCCAAAACTAAAGGCCAGGGTACTCCAATCATATTTGATAACAGGGCACTCAAAGAAAAGAAGGCACAAGAATCGTCACCTTTCCATTTCTTTTTAACCAGGTTATCCTTTGTTACACTTGGCACATAAAGAATTTTATTTTTAAAGGCAGAGCTTGGCTTCCAAACCTTCTTATTGTTTGGATCATAAGAGGCTACTGCATAAGTGTTTGTAGACAGATTTGACAGAAAACTTCCCAGATTTCTCCGTTCCAACGAGCTACATCTTTTGAGTCATTTACTTTGTATCTGAAAATACTGTCGTGTAAGCGCCTAAGCTGGTCTTGCAGGCCTTCATCTAACCACCTTCGAAACTCCAAGTTCCAGTTTTTACCACATAGCTCATTCATTGAGCAAGTTTGAGTAGTACATATGTCATATAAGCCAGGAAACTTGTCCTTCAGAGAAACATTTGCACACCAAATATCTCTCCAAAAACTCGACCTGTGGGGGCAAGACAGCCTCCGGGCATTGCATTAAGAAGAAGACCTCACGCAGGTCGAGAAAACCCCTAAACCCCTGCCCCACCGATACATAGCGGCACCGAAATCACACATACGGCCATTTCCAACTTTCATTGACCTACCCATCAAGTAGACATGGTTTACTTTAAGATCTCATTCCACACAGGGGAATTATTAGCCTTGTAGGTAATTTGTTGCAAGCATTTCCCTTTCAGATACTTTTTCCTTACAATCTCCTGCCAAAGAAATCATTTTCAAGTTTCCACCACCATTTGCATAGCAGACTAATGTTCATCTTTCTTAAGTCCTTGACCCCCAAGCCCCCTTTTTCTTTGGGTTTAGTTATGGTTTCCCACCTAACCAAGTGGTATTTCTTCTCAAACCCCCTCCTTGCCACAAAGATTTCTTCCTGGTTTTATCAAGCTTGTCAGTAGTAGTTATGGGAAAGAGGTACATATAGACATAGCATATGTGGGCATGTTACTTAAAGATGAGTCCAAAAGGGTGGTTCTCCTACCAATGGACTGAGCTGCCTTGCCGACCATCTAACCGTTTGAGCAATTTCTCATCAAGAAGAAGCCAATCAGCTATGTGTAGTCTGGATCTAGACACAGGGACCCCTAGGTACTTTATAGGCCATTTCCCAACAGCGCAACTAAAGGTGTCGGCATACTCCAAAGACGTATCAACATCTTGGCTGATCATAATAGCTTCACTTTTAGCAAAATTAATCTTAATCCCAGACATGGACCCATACAAATGTAACAGGAACTAGAGATTAGTTGCTTGTTCTTTGCCATCCTGAATGCACAAGATTGTGTCATCTGCGTATGCAGAATCACAATACCATTATTTACATACTCCTGATATGGATTGGCTGCGGTAGCAGGAAGAACCATTTCGTCCGTAGACTATTTCTTAGGTTCTTCTTGCTTGATTACAATCGACACCGGGTTCTCTCTTTTATAGAGATGACTGACTTGACTCCTAAGGAAATATCCTAACCGAATTAATCTAACTTATCTCTTTCCTAACAAACCGAATTAATCTAATCTAATCTAATCCGGCACTGTTCATGCACTATGGTGCCGTGTGGGCCCTTGGGCCGGCTCCACTTGCCATAACACTACTCCACCCCTTCAAGGCAGCTCATCCTTGAGCTGTGGCGATTGCTGGAGCCTAAGACCTTGCAGGCCATGAGTAAGCTGCTTGGAGAATGTTGTTCACATGATGCTCATGGCGACTTAAAGGAGGTCGCCATGGCAGCTCGTGGAGATGGGCCCCCGTTAGCTGCCTGGAGCACGAGCACGGAAGGCAGCATCAGGTTGGGCGGCTGCGATGCTGAGCACCGCACCTGGACTTCACGGCCCCACTCCGGCAATTTTGAGTAGAGGGCCGCTAGTCCCATCGCAGTCCCAGGTGAATGAGCCCCTGGGTTGGGGACGCAGCCAAGGTTGCAGGGGCCGTGGACAGCAACTCCCGGAGTCTTCGCAATCTGAACTGTTCCCAAGGGTGCCGCAGGTGTTGCCGTGGCTGCCAATAAAACTGTTGGCGATGGCTCAGGAGGCGTTGATGCAGTCACCATGACCGCCAAAGTTGGTGCAGGGGTGATGGCATGTGCCAGCAGGGCTGTTGGCGAATCTGCCAGTGGTGAAGATACAGTGGCTGCTGGTACGGCATTCTGGGACTTTGCTGGTGGCGAAGGAGGTGATGCCCACAGAGGAGGTGGTGCTGCAGATGCGAGTGGTGTGGGTGGTGCCGGGATTGCCGCAGAAGATGCAGAAGGCACGGGCATCAGGGTGGGTGTGGAAGATGCTGCCGGAGTCGTGGCAGCATGGGCCTTCGCTGGTGGTGTCATAATTGTCGGGCTAGGGGTTGGTGATACCGGAGATACCAGCGGCCCGGAGACAATGCCGAACGCATGTTCCAAGCGCCGGTTCACGGGCGTCAAGGTACTTGTTGAGGGTGACGAACTGGGCCAAGATGAGGTCGAGCTTGGCAGAGATGGTCGCAAGATCGGTGTCGAGGCCGGCCATGGACGGCGATGCCTCGGTAGTGGTCTTTGATACCAATTGATATGGATTGGCTGGGTAGCAGGAAAAACCCTTTCATCCGTAGACTACTTCGTATGTTCTTCTTGCTTGATTACAATCAATACGGGTTCTCTCTTTTATAGAGATGACTGACTGGACTCTAAGGAAATATCCTAACCGAATCAATCAACTTATTTCTTTCCTAACAAACCAATCTCTTAGTAGTGAAGCTAGGGTGTTTTAGCCAAGAAGTTTCAAAGCAGAAGGCTCTTGATACTACTTTATTTTCCAGATCTGAACCATAGACCAGAGGGTTATGGTCAGATTTATATCTGGGTATTTTCTTCACATTGCATAGAGGGAAGTCCTGTTCCTAATCCTTTGAAATAAGCACCCTATCAAGCTTTTCAAGAGTAGGGTTCATTCTATTACTCCAGGTGAACTTGCCTCCTTGCATTACCACTTCCCTTAGTTCATAGGAATTGATGATTAAGTTAAAAACCTCAATGTATTTGTTGTTTAAGGCTTGCCACTAACATCCTTCCCTAGACCCCGCACAGAGCTGGAGCTCTCTGCACTGAGTACGCCCTTTAAACTTTGTATTCTTCTCACTACTATATCTTAGAATATTGAAGTCACCCCCCAAAATCACGGGGTATTTCATTTTAGAGCAGAAAGTGGTTTTAATAACTGCTTTACATGATCCTCACCCCCTTTTCTTTTCAAGATGGGTTCTGTAGCAACCGCTTCATGAGTCCTTTGTCTTGCCATTTTTTTTGAGGGATTGTCTTGCCATTTTTGACTGTACAGATGATGTTTGATTATGCTTGTGAGGACGAACATTTCCCAAGCAAGCAACACAACAGTTATTCAGTTTTCTGCTGGTGATGGCATATTAACACACAAACTTTTGCTAAGCAGATATCTGAAAAAACGTACAATGTTATTGCTGATAGTTGAGGCCACTGGTCAACTCCAAATGAAATTACTGAACCTTTTCCTTTGGTTTACGTCCATTCTTTCGAAAGTACAGAAAATCGTTTACATGCCTGTTCTTTTTTGTGATGTCAAAAATTGACTACTAGTATATCTGGTTTATATCATGCTCAGCACCTAGTAAAGCCTGACCTTAGTTCTGTTATTCCTACTAAACAGTGACGTGGTTTTGCACCATTTAGTACATTGGAATACAATTAGGACAACTTACTCAAATAAAATTGGACTGGAACTGATTTCATGTATCCATTTATTGACGGAAAAAGATTCAAAAGACGGTATCATAAATCAATTCTGGAGGACTTTTCAGTCATTTCCCAGACATTTTTTTTTCACTTGAGCTCAAATTTTATCCTTTTTCTGTACATTTTCTTCAAATTCGGTATTTCAGCATTAATTCTTTTGGAAATAAATGCAGAGAATTGTATGTGAACAATTGTTTTTTCCCCATGTTTTTGCATTGTCATGTTTTTTATTTGTTCCATTTTGTGGCATAGTATTGATAAACATGCTATTGATATGTATACAGCTACAGGAAAGGTCACTACAAAAGTAGATGTGTATGCATACGGTGTGATACTAATGGAGATGATTACGGGAAGGAAAGTACTCGATGACTCATTACCCGAGGATGAAACACATCTTGTAACAATCTTCCGAAAAAATATGCTTGACAAAGAGAAGTTCAGGAAGTTTTTGGACCACACCCTGGAGCTCAACGCTGAATCTTGGAACAGCTTGCTGGAGGTGGCTGATCTTGCTCGCCATTGCACGGCGCGGGAACCATACCAGCGGCCAGACATGTGTCACTGTGTGAACAGGCTTTCCAGCCTAGTGGATCAGTGGAAGCCAACAAATATTGTTGATGATGATGAGGGTGGGACAAGCGAGATGGGTCTTCACCAACAGCTAGAAAGATGGAGATGCGATGATTTCACTATATCAGATTCGGATTCATTCAGCACATACAACACATCAAGGAAGTACCATTGACAATTAGTGAGGCCTTTTTTGTCATATATAAATGAGGAACCATGATCTGACGCATCAAGAGGCTCTCTACAGCTCTGTGGATCACGGACAGCTTTGAAGGTCAATGCGCCAGCCTGTCAGGTGTAGTTAGCCCATTGAAAACAAGGTTACTTGATAATCAGCATCTTCCTTCATTAAAGGCTACTAACCAGGCTCAAACTTGAGGGAAGTCATGATACTTGAAACTTGTGCTGTATCTAGCTTATCCAGTTTGTATCATTTGGTCACTGGGGACATCGAGAAACAGTTTGTTCTTGAATGGTCATGAGGGAAAAGAGATGAAAGAAACCATAGCTTCCGAACTGCATTCTGATGGTTAGTTTTTTTAGGCCGTAGAGGGTTGCTTTTTGTGTACAACAAAACTATTTGTTATTATTTATCTAGTATTTGTATTTGCTCTGTACAACCAACCGTGAGGGTTGCTTTCTTCGAAAATACCTGAACATGTGAAATGATGCTACCTAACGTTCAAGTTTTGCGTTAGCTTTTTGGAAGTAAATTAAGAGGTTGCCAACCCGTACATTCCTATAAACCAATCTGTAGAATGTTATTATACCATTAAACAAGTCGCATTTTATAGAATCTAGTTGCTTTTATAGAATCTAGTTGCAATTCTTAAAACATTGACATGAGCACATGTAAAAGTGCAGGAATCGGCACCATAGAAAATGTATTTCAATGACCTATGTACAAACAAGACAAATCTTTACATGAGAAATTGAAAATTGAAAAATGCAGGAACATGTTTTAAAGCCTATATCACATCATGACATACTAGGCCTGTCCACTCACGGTTTCCACAGGTTTGGTTTTTCATTCCAGTCTGCCGGTGTCCGGTTTGGCTTGGTCAGTCTGGTTAATTTGTATGTTGCTGCACACTTCTCATTGTTGATTGGCTGCCTCTCGCATTGGCTACTTCCTGTACAGATAAAAAGCCGGTAATGATGGAACTCGGGCGTCCCGACGGACACCGAGTCTGGACGCCACCTCTGCGCTCCGTCGCTCCCATGCGACCCCGTGCCCACGTCCGTGTGCGCTTGCGCCCCACCGAAGATGAAGACAACGTGGGTGGCGGTTAGGGTTGCAACGTCGACGGCGGCAGCCTCCCTCTCCAGCCTCTTCCCCTCTTCTTCTCCAACTCCGGCGGGCTTAGAAGGGGTTTTGGGAGGCAGGGTGGGGATGGTGGATGGGCAGCTTAGGGTCCTGGCGGTGGTGGAGGCGGCTAGGCCAGGGCGGGGTGGGGGCGTCGTGGCAGTGCTCGCCAGCACCCATGGCCATGCGCGAGGTGGAAGGGGGAGGGGAAGGTGGAGGCCGCTGCGGCGGGGCGGTGGGCGGCGGGCAAGGAGGAAGACGACCGTCGCGCGGGGAGAAAGTGGGCCGTAGGGGCCACCGGTGGTGGAGGGCTAGAGAGGGGCAGTCAGGCACGGGGAAGAAGAGGGCAGAGAGGAGGGCGTCTGGATGTGGGAGTGAGGGAGCTGCGTCGGGCGCGGGAGGACGGGACGGGTGGGAGATAGCGAGTAGGATCTGGCGCGGGCGTCCGGAGGTGGGCGTCCGTCCGGATGTTCGGGCGCTAGTATCCCCGATAAAAAAGCTAGTAAGGCATGGGAGTACACAGAACTTACGCTAATAACTATGAAATATGGAAAGCCATGTGACACTAAAAAGCAATGATACAATTTTCATCAGTGTAGGCATTGATACAACTAGATCAAACTTGAAATGTTGGACCCAACTTTCACAATAATAAACCAGAAAAAAATAAAGGATGAACACAAATTCTGTGAGTAAGAAGCATTTTTCAGCACCTATATATCAGTTCAACAATAGTACAAACATGGTACCACTTAAATAATGTGCCATGCGTGTAGTCAAGCTGTAATCCCCACAATTTTGTGACCTGAACTACATCAATAATCAAAACAATGTTGACCAAAGTTCCTCCCGGAAATAAGTATTTGATTGAGAAGTAAACATGGCACAAAGTGCAATGGGATGAGTTCACTACTGCTAGCATGCAAATTTTCATACTAGACGCCTTGTACTAGCAACAACCAACAAACAAAAGTCTAAGCTTTAGCTTGTACAGCTTGCATCCTCTATTGCAACTTGAATATCTGCATAGCAAAAGATAAGATGAATGAGAGAAATGTCCACAGGAGGCTCTAGGTTTTGTCGTGGCACCGTCAATCGTTATCATAACACCATTACCGAGCACACAACCAATGAAAAATCACGTGGCACATGTAGATCGTGGATGGATAAACATGACGTATAGGCGGGTTGGGCAAGTAGGGATGGTCACACGATTAGGAGTCGACAAGAGCATGGTCCAAGGATAGAGACATGACATGAGAGAGAGAGCATATAGATTAACTGCCGAAGACAACCGAGCATGAAACTCTTACTTTAGTTCCAAGTACATCTTATGTCCACCAAAGAGATTACCAGATCAACGATTGTCACACCCAATTTTAAGGACAAAATCGAATGCAACATATGTATGCCAAGATCAATTTATTCATACATATGTCAGACTTCATTACAGTATCATAGTAGATTTGTTTACATAACGAAATCATTATTACAAAACGACCCGTGGGTCTCAGAAAATCTACTAAGCTTCCAGTGGAAATGGACGCCATCTTCACAGGAAGGTTGACCGGGGGCAACACCAGCCTAGAACACGTCGTCGGGGTCAAAGGCACCGTCTTCAACGTACTCCTCATCGTCTCCAGCGTCTGGGTGGGGTAGCAGGGGGACAAAGAGGAAGGGTGAGTACATCAAAATGTACTCCGCAAGTGTAGGAAAAGTATGACATGAGGCTTAAAGCAAGGATAGGCTTATACAGGTTGACATAGCACTTAAGCGACACACCTATTACCTTAAATCTTAAGCACCTATTTATCTAAGTGAGATTCCGCCTTGTCCTCAGAGAACCAAACCACACTTGGATTCCATCCAAGCACCACACTTGGATTCCATCCAAGCTCCCAACTGAACCACCCATTCCCTTACCAACAGAACCACCCAACCAAACCAGTGCCATATAATCACGAAGAAGTCTAAGCCCGCTCTTGACCGTGAGCACGACTGATATATCAGTTTTACACTCTGCAGAGGTTACACACTTTCACCATGAGTCATGTTTTCCCCATTATGCTTCACACTACCTAGGTGCTTCGTGGGGTCACACTACAAGGCCTTTACAAAGCACCTCCAAGTCTGTTTTACACCTACCTCTAAGGTTTCTCCCCTGTACATAAGTCAAAGACCCCAGGGGACCCTCTTGGGCCACATAAACCATCCCGATGTAGCATAACTTGGAGGAAACTAACTACCTAGCTAGATCCAGCCCATCCAGACCAGGTTGCACTGTTTTGCTGGGTTACTTGTCCATGAACCGGTCCTTAGAATCTAAAGTAGGTATGAGCACCAACCCAAGGAACCCTATTATGTACCAAAACCAAATAACCATCATACCAATCCATCCATCCTGCTCAGATTCCCTAGTCACCATGTTGCTAAAAAGATTACCATCCCATGTTGCATAAGCCTTTAATCAATATTAAATTATATCCTTCCCAACTCATCCATGACAGCAAAGCTAAGCATGACTTCTACCCATCCCAACCGGGTTACAAAGATAACGTGACAAAAGCTAGTAAACCCTATCATAGGATTCAAATTAAGACTCTGCATGCAATTAATGGTCTAACTACTCTAACTACTCTAACTCCTGATCCTAGAAATTCTCGCACTCAACACCTTTTGCTGACACAACAACAAACATGGCACACAAAACATAAAAAGAACAGTACACCAAACAGTGGAAAAACATGATATAAAGTTTATTAATGTGTAGTACTTGTCAATATGAACTCATGAGCAAAAGAACCACCTACAACGGCTAAGGTTCGAAAGTTATGGGCTTTTGAAGTTCAGTGGCAAAATTGTAATTACAAGGAACTAATTTTGCATTTTAAACAAACAAAACTGGAATTAAAAGGGATGTTGGACTACGAGTACAAACACGAGGGAAGGCAGGGGCTAAAATAGAAGAAAATAGGACTGGATTCTGATGCTTTTTAATAGGGATTGGATGGTGGGTTGATTTTGGAAATGTTGAGGGCCTTTCTGCAAAAGACCAGGGGTCAGTCGGGGTTTGCCACTTCATCGCTGATGTGTGCGCCGCGTGGCGTTACGTGATTGGCTGGGTGCACCAGCTATGCGTGGACGCGGTGCGCTAGCGTTGTGGACCATGTCTATGGTCCCGTGGACCAAGAGAGAGAGAGAGAGAGAGAAAGGGGAAACAGGTGGACGGGATGGCTCCTATGCCAGATTGGGCCACGGCCCTAGGATGGGAAGGGGAGGTGGGCACGAGAGAGGGAGAAGACTTGGCCGGATTCGACCTAGGGAGTGAGAGAGAGAGAGGGAGTTTAGCCTTTTTAATTTTTTGTAAATTCATTTGAAGCTCAAACTCAAATCCTTTTTAAACAAAACTTGCTTTTCAAATCATTTCCGAGTTTTTGGAAATTGAAACTTGCTTTTGGGAAATAAAATTTTGGAACTTTACTTTTAGATAAACTTTTAAATACTTTATTTTATAAATAGAGCAAAACCGATTCGTATCTAAATCGAATTCTAATAAATTATTTTCCACCCAATAAAAATAATGCTAGCGACATAAAAGCAACACAATAAATTTTAATTATCAACATATTATTTTCCTCCAACTATTGTTTGGCCATAATCTAAATTTAAATTCTAATAAATTTTAGGAAATTGCAAAATTTAAAATTTAGGGTGTTACAAACCTACCCCTTAATATGAATCTCATCCTCGAGATTAGGAAAGATCGTCGAAGAGGTGAGGGAACTATGCCTTCAGATCATTTTCTCTTTCTCAAGTGGCTTCTTCCTCAGAATAATGCTTCCATTGCACTTTGCACAATCTAATTGTTG